GAAATGTCAGCCTTCCTGCTCCTCTGATGCTGCTTGGCCTGCTGTGTTCATCCAGCTCTACACCTTGTTATCTCAGTTTCTCCAGCATCTGCAGTTCCTACTATCTCTGGACAAAGGTTAGGTTTGGAGTGCATATTCTGTGAATTATTAAAATAAGTAAACTTACAAGTATAGTAGAAAACCATGTCACTTCCATTTTCAACTGATGATTGGGAAATAACAAATTCCTTTGTTCGAGAAGTCAGTATTGAGAAGTCATCAATTTAAAATTGTCACTAAGAGAAGTCAGAAGAAATTTCACACAGGAAGAGTTGAAGCAGAAACATTGCATTTTGTAACGGAAAATTGGATAAATATTTGAAGCAAAGTTGGAGAATACAGGAGTTGAAATATTTTGAGGTTAGAAGAATTAATTTTGGATTGTTCTTGAAAAGAATCTGAACAGCCATGATAGGATGAATGGCCCTGACTATGCCGTAAGCTTTTATGGTTATAACCTCAACTTATTCAAATCTCCAGTACTCATATCCTACTCTTCCTCACATCCTACTCACCCAATAGTGTTGTCACTGACCTCACAAGCTCCTCCAAAATCACAAATTCAAAATCTTTGCATTTCATTGCCTTAACTTCTGGAACCTCTTTCCACTTGAATGTTGATGACAGCCATCTCAACTTCACCATCACCTCTCTCAACCCACATACAGTCTAAATTGTTAGACCTGTTTGCCTTACATCCAGTACTGGGTAAATGGAAACTTTTTCCACTTAATTATTGCAAAGACTGAAGCCTTTATCTTTACCTTCCACCACAAACTCTGTTCCTAGTCACTGACTCCAGCCCTTTATCTGATCAGTCTGGGTCTGAACCAGACTCAGAGTCATAGTCATACAGCATGGAAATGGACTCTTTGATCCAACTCGTCTACACCGATCAAGTTTCCCTGATTTTTTACCTTGGTTTTGTATTTAATGGTGAGATAAGTTGCAAACCACATATCCATGCCATCACTATAACTGTCCATTTCTGTCTCCATAATTTTACCTGTTTTAGACCATCTGTTACTGAAATCCTCACCCTGGCCTTTATAAACATTTTTTTAATATACACTTTGCTAATATCTTCTATCTTCCACACACATAAGCTTTTCAAAAATGCTACTATTCATCTTTTAATTTGCGCCAAATTCCCTTCACCCATTTCCTCTGAGTTGCTGATCTCCATTAGCTCCCAGTTAAGCAGTGCCTCAAATTTGAAACTCTTATCCTTGTTTTAAAATCTCTCTAAGGCATCTCCCTACTGTAACTCTCATCAGCACAATCCTCCAAGATCTCTGCAGTCCTCCAGTTCTGGTCTCATGCAAAGTCTTGGTTTTAATTCCTCATTATTGATTCCATGCCTTCAGCTGCTGTGGTGTTAGGATTTAGAATTCCCTCCCTTATCATCTATGCCTTTCAATTTTTCTTTCCACTTTAGCCTAGCGTCTTGCTCCGCTTCCCTAAATGTTATGTGGTGTAGAGTCAAATGTTGTTTGCTGTGACTCATATGAAGCATCTTGGGGTATTTTGCTATGTCAGTGAGGTATATAAGTGAAAGCTGTTGTTGTTAGCATGAAATCCATCACAT